AAGATATAAATATTGCAAAGAGTTAAAGAACTGAAACAAATAGTTAAACTGTATGACATACAATGGAAAAGATCAACTAGTCAGACAAATAACTAAAAAGCAGCTCATGAAAGACAGGAAAAAAATTATCATAACATAGTTAACATATGCACATACATTATAAATTTTATAAGACAGTGAGATGTAGTGTTAAGTGCTTAAAGACACATCACACATTATCTATGTTCCTGGGAAATTAAAGTTACTTATGAACTTAAACATGTAAATGAATAGTGAACTGCTAAATGCCAAAAGAGTCCCTGGTGGTGACCACTGAAGCTTATACACGATTGTAGATGAGGAAAACTGAGGAGTGAGAGGTTACTGATTGAATTTGTGACTGGTTGACAAACGTAACACATGATTTATAGAAGAAATATTAGCTGCTTCCCTTAAACTATCGCTAGGCAAATATTTGTAGAAAACCAACTTTCTATGACCCATTTGGCATGTCTACTTGATAAATCATGGCTTTAGCAATATGAGAGTTTTCGTTGCCTCGCCCAGGTCAGCATCTTGGATGCCACGGACAGGTGTACATCATGTATTTTCATGTATTCGCTGCCCTATTTGTTACTACTGTCTCTGCATCAAGATTACAACATCATCATGACAGTGCCAGTAATGCCGTGTTGATAAAACTGGTTGAAAGACTGGACAAGCAGGGACAAGAGATGAAAAAACTGAAAGCTGAGGTTGCTGCAGTGAGGCAGGAAAACAAACAACTTAAGGTATTTGTATTTGAAATTCCGCCCAACCCCAACATTGTCAATTTCCCACGTGGTATATCTTAACTATCACTAAAATTAACATCTTACCAACCTATGTTGAACAATTTCCATATGCTGAAAATGACAGATCTATAGTATAAAGACTAATGTAATCTTTTAAATAGTCAGATATTCAGAAAATCAAGTTGAAGCTTGATGCACAAACTATCACTGTTCCTGAGCAAAATGCAACAAACCTTCACCATGGAAACCATTTTATTACCAAGCGACAAGTGCAGCAAGGAAACTGTAAGCTATCATTTGTTAGAAGTCTTGAACTGACATTTTATGCAATTCCTGATAAGATATATCAATTAAGAGGATATATTGATTTTAGATAATATTATATGTGACAATAGGCATTTTATGGTTGAGTATCAACGTGCAGCATCTGTATCCTGTTTAAAAAACCAGCAATTCAAACCACTGTGTCCTGTATTTTAGTGGTAAGTTCAGGCTGTCTACAAGGACCCCAGGGACCCCCAGGAAGAGATGGCAGGGATGGCAGAGATGGTATTCAGGTAACTTTACTGATCTTCTCTTATGACAAATTCCATGACTTTTAGAATAAATTTTCTTTCTTGAATAAAATTGTATGCCATCATATATAATTATAATAATTATACAATATTTAAAAATTGCTTCTAGAGTATGAAGGCTTGGGATGTGACATACATAAGTTGGAATCGATAGTAAAAAAATACCAAATAAATATATATTGATGTAGATATAATTTAATTACAACATTATAATTTTTGTTCTTGTTTTTGTAAAAACATATAAATAATTAGTAATTAATTCATAAAAATAATTCATAATTGATATTTTTTTTATTTTCTAAGGGGCCCCCTGGACCTAAAGGGGTCCCAGGATCTCTAACATTGGATACCCTCAAACAAATGCTGGGACAAATTGGAATTCAGAAAGGGGTGCCACCTACAGGTTTGTCTGGTGCTTTAACTATGTGAACCTCTTCCTTTTAGTTTTGTTAATTTTTCTGTATGTTACTGTCCACTGACTTCATTAACAAATTCATTTTTTCTATTTTATTGAAGGTTTTACTTTTTAGTCAACAGACAGTTGTTGTGATAAATGTTACAAAGGTTTACCCTCTACCAGGGTGGCAGATTATATAGGGAAAAATTGGAAAAACCACCCTGTGACTTTTGGCCAGATGGGAGCAGTTAAATCTACCCGCACACAGATGGAATTGTACCCGCTCTGTAGGGAGCTATTAAGGATATTTCTCAATTATCTTCAATATGTTGTAACAAGCTATTCAGAAGGGGCTTCTTTTATTTGTCACAAAAGAACAAGTGATTTAAATCAGAGCAATTAACTGTCTTCATTGCTGTCAAAGTGACTTAGCCTGGACAGTTATGCAAACTGCAATTACCAGACATGTAATCAGCCTAGAGATTTCATTACAGGATCAGAGATAGTAAAATGACCGTCTATCTAAAGGCATACCTAGCTGTGAATATTCTGTGGCCCTGGTAGAAAGTAACAAAGGTTGTTGTGCAAAAATAAGTGTGACGTCAATTTTTAAGTGCACATTTTTATGTTATCTGGTCTTAGAGCACTACCAGACATACATGTAGTAGGGCCGTGTTCACAATATAGTTTTCTGTATGTTTTCAGCTCTACCAGCCAATAACAACAATGGTGGGACAGTGTACATACGTTGGGGAAGAACAACTTGTTCAACACATTCAAAACTTTTGTACAAAGGTAAAATGCATGTTGTAACAAATAGTTTTTCTAGGGATAATTCAGTATACCGTACATGTACTACATTTTAAAAGATTTTATACTTGATCTTCCTCTGCATTAAAATATAGGCAAGTAAGCTTACAATTCAAAATGTCTGAATTATATAACTTTATCTTTAGGGATAGCTTCTGGAACTGATGATCTCAAAACTGGAGGAGGCAGTAATTACCTGTGTTTGCCACAGACACCAGAGTGGGGGAAATACCAAGATGGAGGGCAAGGTACTGGTTCTTTCATACATGGTGTGCAATATGAAAGGATTTACTCTAACATATTTTCAACAACCAATACAGGAGGTCATAATCTTCCTAACCAAGATGCCCCCTGTGCTGTATGCTACACCCAAACACGTCCCAGTCATGTGATGATACCAGCCAAGAAGACATGTCCAGCTGGGTGGACAACAGAGTACAATGGATACCTGGTATCAGCTTTTAACACACACCAGAGAACTGAATTTGTCTGCCTTGATGAAGGTCCAGAAGTGGTAGCTGGAGGCCATGAGGACAAAATTGCTGCCTCATTTTACACTGCTGAGGCTAAATGTGGTACCCTTCCCTGTCCACCATATGTGGATGGAAGAGAACTGGCCTGTGTTGTCTGCTCTAAATAGTGAAGAACATAAAATATGGGTCATACATGTAATATTGGCACTAAATACAATGACCATAAGGAGACATACCTGCGCTGTCTGTACTAAACAGTGTCAAATATGTTGAAAAAATGACCTGTGACTAAGAGAAGAATGACCTTAGGAATAGTCTTTGTTGAATTTAAATATGTTATTTCCTAGAATATAGCTACCAGTACAACTATTCATCAAAAGATATACATACATTCAGTTTTTTATTTGGCTAGTACTACCTTAATGACAGCCTTGTGTCACAGGCAATTTCCAGTCGATTTTCATCAGCAAATTAGTAAATTAAGAAAAAATGTTTAAATGGCCTACATGTAGTCTAGGTTTTTGATTTATTCATGAAAATTGAAGATTTCAAATATAATTATATGCTTTTGATCTATTGTTTTGTGTTTGTAGAGTAAATAAATAACTGTGAAGAGCAGAAATTCAGTTTTTTCCTTTTTTTCCTGTAATCAAATTAGTGGCAAACATGCCTTGTGTTGTAAAATTATATGAAAGAATGCTAAGTAATTTCTGCCCCCTTTAAAAATGGAAAACTAATTTTAAAATTCACATTCTAGGTTTACATATCTAACTTTACATTCAGTACTTACTAATTTTTTTTTATCTAAAAAATATTCTCCTTCCAATTTTTAAATGCAAACAAGATAATTTAAGTAAGTCATTAAAAATGGTTTTCTAGACAACAGCATGACAGACACCTAAATTGGTATATGGTCAGACATATCAATTAGTATGCCTTTTTTTGTAATGTCCTTTAAAGAAAAAATGGAATTGTTTTCTGAAAAAGAGGCATCAAAATTTTTAAGGTTTAAGTACATGTATCTTGAGAATTAACAAATTAACATGAATGGTAAGCACAATGTCTCAGATATCTGGTCACAATGGTTGAGGCACAGTACAACTAACACATTTCAGGAGGTAAAGCTAGCAAAACGGGTGCTGGAAGTACAAATGTTTAGAAATTTGATATTTGTGTACTTCAAGATTCCAAGGGACAAAGCCAGCAAAGTAGGTGCTAGAAATATCTTTGAAAATGCATTTCATTAATGTTTAAACACATGTGTAATTTACCAATTAAGACCCATTCAGAACACAGCTTTCTAACCACCTGTGATTTTTGACTGACATCTATATGTGGCTTGTTATAATTTTAATATTTTTTAGAATAATTTTTGAATATTTGAATATTTATAAAATTCTCTGAGTTTCTAAATGCTAATGCTAAATTACAAAGCTTGCTGAAACAACATTATCTTTTGCATCTAGAAGAACATACCGGTAATTGGTATGAAAAATTTATAAAAAAACAGTAAGTTAATTAATACAGAAATAAACTAAGAAATAAATAGTGCAAAAAGTGTAGAAACTGAAAAAAAAAAAACTGTCACTGACACTTCAACTGCATGGCATATACTGGAAAAGACCTGGCACTTGGGTAAAAGGTATAAGTTTGTATACATAGAAAATGCAACTCTTATTTGAGATTTAAGGAGCAGAATGAAGCATGTGCTTGTATGTGCTTGAACGATTCCAGTAAGTTATATTAAAGTGAAAAGATAAATGAACTGTCAAATCTTGTGTAAAGAGTACCTGGTGGTGCCCACGTAATCTACTTTAAAGAGTTTAATTCAGGAGAACTGAGGACTAAGAGGTTTGTGATTGCATGTGTTACTGGTTAATTTCTCAAGAGAGATTAATAGAAAAAATATACAAGCAGCTTACCTATAACTATCATTATTGAAATACTGATAAAATTCTAAGTTGCTAAGCCCCACACTGTCTGTGTTTGACAAGTCCAATTGATAAATTAAGGGCCAATCAATTGATAAAAGAGCTTTTCTAAGCCTCACCCAGGTCATAATCTTGACTGTCCCAAAATGCTGCACATCATGTATTTTCATGTATTCACTGCCCTTATTGTTGCTACTGTCTCTGCATCAACTTTACAACATCATGCTGATGTCAATCATGATGTGTTGATGAAATTGGTTGAAAGAGTGGACAGACAAGAACTAGAGATGAAGAAACTAGTTGGAAAACTTAACAGACAAGAACAAAAGATGAAAAAACTTGAGGCTGAGGTTGCAGTAGTCCGGCTGGAGAATAAACAACTTAAGGTATTTTGGGCTTTGAATTTCATCTCTCAGCTGTCCACCTCAGTTATCTTGAATGTCAATGAAAAATTAAAATAACCACAAAATTAACAATGTTCTGCAATTTCCATGCATAAAAATCACATATTTATTAACACATTTAATTAAATATATGCTCTCCTTTACTTTCAAATTAGTCAGATATTCAGACTATTGGGTTGAAGCTCAATGGACAGACCATCAGTACGATCACAGTTGCTGAGCAAAATGGAACAAAGTTTCACTATGGAAACCATTCCATAACCAAGAGACAAGTGCAGCAAGGAAACTGTAAGCTGTAACATTATTTGTTATAGGTCTACATTGACTTATTATTTACACCATTTTAACACAATATTATTGCTTAACATGATTTAAAAAAAAAAGGTATGCCCCATGTTTAATATAATAAATTTGGAAATATATTTAACTCTATATCCTACATTCAAACATTTATTAAATATATTCCTAAAGATACCATTAGGGGTATTTACCTGTAAGTTTCATCCTCTGATTGTTTATATTTCTGAGGTCACCAAAGATGTACACTTTCAGCTACATTAATTTCACATGTAAAAACTGTTGCTTTTATTATGAAATCATTCTAATTTATGTTAAAAAATTTACTGCATCATTCTCAATGTTGAAAACCAGAAATTCACTTATTTACTGTATTTGAAAACAGATATTTACATGCAATGGTTGACTTACAGTTAACAGCATCTCCACATAAAAAAGCACTTTAAATCTAATATCTGTATAATTCTAGTGGTAACTTCAGGGTGTCTACAAGGACCCCAGGGACCCCCAGGGAAAGACGGCAGGGATGGCAAGGATGGAAAAGATGGGAAAGATGGAATTCAGGTAACTTTACTCATTATATTTGTGACAAAATGAATACTTATCTAAAATAAATAATGCTCCTTATATTTACAATGATATACAATAATACATTATTTTATGCAAAATTCCATGATTACCTTAAATCATATGTAAAAGTAATAAGTATGGATTGAGCTGCAGTCTTTTAGCACATGCAAATAAGTTGCTAGTGTACATGATATGTATATAGAATACTGAATTGATGTACATGTGGGTGCAATTTAATTTGAATGTTTATAAGACCTGTATTTGATCATAGTGAGAATTAAATGACTCGCCATGGAATGTTCTCTTTTTATTATTTCAAATATCTTAATTAATCTACAGAACCCAGGCCTAACAGTAGACAGTCTCAAGCAAATCATTGCACTGCTTGGATATCAGTCATCTTCACAAGGTAACTCTGTAGATGATAAATTAAGTTATAGTAGTTTGGCTGACATTTTAAGATACTTAGATACTTTAGATTTTAGGTGTGAAATGATGAAAAATGATCCCAGTCTTTTTTAAACAATATTTTTTTAAAAAATAACTTTCATCAAAGCCAATCATGATCACCAACTGTTAACAAAAAAAAAAAAAAAAAAAAAAAAAAAAATCAGATGCAAATGATATGTTAATTTATATTTAAATTTGCCTGTTCCATAACAAAATCGCTGATGTTAGATGAGGTTTTACCCAAAGTTGGGATGAGTGGCTGATGCCTGTGGTATCTGAATGATGAGGTAAATGTACAAAGAGACATGAAATTATGGAATATATTGACTGATCTTGACTCCAAGAATACAAATCATTATCCAAAGAAATAAAAAAAAATTATTACTAATATTATACTTTTCAGTTGTCAACTCCTCAAGGAGCAGTGTTCAGGGACCACAGGGATTACCTGGGAGAGATGGTAGAGACGGAATACAGGTAAATGGCACGAAAACATGTTTTCTTCTTGAAATATCATGAAAATGCACGTTTACTAAGAAATGTTAAATGTTCCTTTAAAATATCTTGACATGATATTTCAAATACTCAGCTCATAGATAACAAATTTGTAATTTATATTACAGGTTTATACTTCTGTTCATATATATTCCTTTGTGAAATAGCAGTTTCAATATTTTTATTCAAATTTTCTAAGGGACCACCTGGACCTAAAGGGGACCCAGGATCTCTAACATTGGATACCCTCAAACAAATGCTGGGACAAATTGGAGCTCAGATAGGAGTGCCACCTACAGGTTTGTCTGGTGCTTTAACTATGTAAATCTTTTCCTTCTAATTTTATTTCTTATTTAATTTTGGGAATATATTCTACATTTCTCCACTGACGTCAATACTGGATTCTATTTATTTTCCATTTAATATTGCGGGCTTTACTTTTTTAGTTATGAGATAGCCATACTTATGAAGGGGCTAAAGATTGCTAGTGTGCAACATGAAGTTTACCATTAAGATGTCTGTTTTGAAAGTGTATATTTTCATGGTGACTGGTGTAAGAGCACTATCAGCCATGGTGAGAAAGTCTAAAACACATAGTTCTCTAGGTTTAATGTGTGTTTTCAGGCCTACCAGCCAATACCAGCCATGGTGGGACAGTGTATACACGTTGGGGCAGAACAACTTGCTCAACATATTCACAGCTTTTGTACAAAGGTAAAGAGCTAAAGTACATCTTCCTTAAGTGTGGTTCTATTAAACCGTTCAGCCAAAATAATAATAGCAATGATAACATCATCATCATCAGGTGCCATGCTTTGCAACTTCGGTGATTATGGTCTTCCAGTCTCTTCAATTCTAGACACTAGCTATAGTGTTGTTAGGTCTTAATGTTCTAAGCTAAGCTGTGAGGCCACCCAGCATCTTTTTTTCCTCTATCTCTCTTTCCACAGATCTTAAATTTCCAATGGTAATGGTGTATTCCATTCCAAGCCATCGCATGATGTGCCCAAAGAATGTTGCTTGGCACCTCTTGATCAATGTTATGAGGGATCCTACGGAGGAACCACATTTCTGTGGCTTCCAGTCTCTTCTGTTGTTGTTTGTTGAGGTTCCACGCTTCAGATGCATATGTTAGGATCAGGTATACATAGGTGTTGAGAACCCTCTTCCTGACATTCATGAAGATCTTTTTACTTTTCATGATGCTTCCCATGTTCTCAAAAGCAGATGAGATAATTACCCCCTTACAGCTTTACTAGGCATGACAGACATTTAAGCTGGCCAAGTTGACAACAATTTAGTGAGACTCCCTAGGGAGATAGATCAATCCAAATATCTGTAGGAATGGTCCCTATGTTGCATATAGGTGGGTTGTTCTTTTTGGACACTACCATGCACTCTGTCTTGGCCACGTTTAAGCCTAGCCCCATCTCACTCTCCACATTAATGATGTTAACCAGATTCTGAAGATCTTCTTTGCTGCCTGCAATAATTACAGTGTCATCAGCAAAGGCGTAACCAGACCTTTAAAAATTATACGCTCAGATTTTTAAAATTCCCAGCAAAATGTAGACTAACGCAAGAGATGAAGGACAGCGTTATTACAGCATATGTACCACACATCGCAGCTTAAGTTCCATTAATAATAAAATCATCATTTAGTCAAATATTCTCGCAATTAAAAAAGTTTCAATATTCTTATTACCCAGAATGGTATATTTATTTAAAAGGAGGCTAGCTTCGCATATGTGGAACCTGAATTCGAATAATCCTGGATCCACCTCTGAGTTGAACTAACATACGGTTTCATTCACCTTACATATGTGGATGCATGGCTCCCAAAAACAACCAATTGTACGACACGACAGAGCTCTGATACATCTAAGTTTAATTATTTGTTTGTAAAAATTGCCCATGTCACCCTGTTAGTTTGGAGGGGTAAGCTGGGTCAAGTCCGTGTCAAAATTCTTTGAAGCTTTGCAGGAAAAATTCTTCCTTTGTTTTTCTAGCTCCTCCTTAAACCTGGTGTCCAGATTTTATCTAGTGCCCCCAGGGTTGCAGGAGCTGCTCTTTGAAAATAACACTCAGGCAGATTTTTACCAGAGATAAATATCGCCAGCGAGAATGTGTTCGATATTCTCAAGAAAGAGGGTACAGAAGAGTTGAGGGCCACTGAACCCTCCAATTAAGAGGTAAAGGAAGTTCCAGTTAGATGGACGATTAAGATAGGACTTGTTAAGGTTACAGGCATTGTTTACCTCAGTTTGCAAGACGGAGGGGGGGGGGAGGGGCAGAACAATTGTGCCTATACAATTGATACAGAGGATTTGTACATACATTTGTACAGGTTACTTTAATAAGCAGAGGATTTTCTTTTATATTCCGTGAAAAATACACTAAATTTATATAAAATTATATCATGGTTGGCCAAAAAATTGTACGCACAGTGCATCTGTGCGTATGCCTAGTTACGCCCATGATCAGCATACCTTAGGTTGTTGGTGTTCTGCCCTCTGACTTTGACACCTGGCATGGCTTCGATGTTTCGCATAATGGTCTCACTACATGTATACAAGGTAAAAAGGTCTGATGATAGGACACATCCTAACCTGACACCCGTCTTGATTTGTTGAGACCGGCTTAGCTTGTTTCCTACTCTAATGGCTGCTGTTTGCTTCCAAAAAATGTTCTGGATAATTCTCAGGTCTTTGCTGTACCTCTAAAGCCCTTTAATGTCATAAAATCATAATAAAAAAATAAATGTTTGGATATATATATATATATATATATATATATATATATATATATATATATATACCCCCTGTATATATATATATTAAAATCTAAAAAGTGGATTTTATAATATGTTATATCAGGGATATCTGCTGGAACCTACTACAGCAAAACTGGAGGAGGCAGTAATTACCTGTGTTTGCCACAGACACCAGAGTGGGGGAAATACCAAGATGGAGGGCAAGATTTAGGTTCTTACATATATGGTGTGGAATATGAGAGTATCAAGCCTGATATATTTTCAACAACCAATACAGGAGGTCAGAGTTTTGTCAACCATGATGCCCCCTGTGCTGTATGCTACACCCAAACACGCCCCAGTCATGTGATGATACCAGCCAAGATGACGTGTCCAGCTGGGTGGACAACAGAGTACAATGGATACCTGGTATCAGATCATGATGGTAACCATATAACAGAGTTTGTTTGCCTTGATGAAGCTCCAGAAGTGGTAGCTGGAGGCCATGAGAACAAAAACGGTGCCTTGTTCTACACTGCTGAAGCTAAATGTGGAACTCTCCCCTGTCCACCATATGTGGATGGAAGAGAACTGGCCTGTGTTGTCTGTACTAAATAGTGACCATAACATAAAGACTGACTCGTGTTGATTCTTCAAATTTTTTAAGTGACTGCATACATTCAAACTGCCCATGTAGAATTTAAAGTGGTGTGTCCAACAAATATGGTGATAAGTAATTATTAAAATACACATTTATGTTTTATATTTGTTTTTATATCCTTGATTTTAACATCAATTTAATAAATAGACAAATTACTTGGTCTTTGTTATTGATTTATTTGTTATTGATTCATTATTTGTTATAGGTCTACATTGACTAATTATTTACACCATTTTTACAAAATAGTATTGCTTAACATGATTTTTAAAAAAGGAAAAAAAGATATGCTCCATGTTTAGTAATAATAAATTTAGAAATATATTAAACTCTATATCCTACATTCAAACATTTATTAAATACGTTCCTAAAGATATCATTAGGAGTATTTACCTGTAAGTTTTATCCCCTGATTGTTTTATATTTCTGAGGTCACCAAAGCCCTACATTTTCAGCTACATTAATTTTACATGTAAAAACTGTTGCTTTTATTATGAAATCATTCTACTTTATGTTAAAAAGTTTACAGCATCATTCTCAATGTTGTAAGCCAACAATTCACTTAACTGCATGGTACCTATTTGAAAACAGATATTTACATGCAATGGTTGACTTACAGTTAACAGCATCTCCACGTAAAAAAGCACTTCAAAAATTATATCTGTAAACTACGTATGTTCTAGTGGTAACTTCAGGGTGTCTACAAGGACCCCAACGACCTCAGGGACCCCCATGGAAAGATGGCAGGGATGGCAAGGATGGCAAGGATGAAAAAGATGGTAAAGATGGAATTCAGGCAATTTTACTCATTTTCATTTGTGATAAAATACATGAATCCCTTTTTAAAATGAATAATCTTCCTTATTTACAAAGATATACAATAACATGTTATCTTATGCAAAATTCCATGATTACCTTATATCATATGTAAAAGTAATGAGAATGTACGGGTATTGAACTGTAGTTTTTTGGCACAAATAAGTTGATAGTGAACACAGTTGATATGTATATAGAATACTGACTTGATGTACATGTGGATGCAATTTAATTCGAATGTTAATAAAACCTCATGCTCAAAGTAAGAAATGACTCGCCATGATATGTTTACTTTTTATTATTACAAATATTTTAAATTAATCCACAGAACCCAGGTTTAACAGTAGAGAGTCTCAAACAAATCATTGCACTGCTTGGATATCAGTCAGCTTTACAAGGTAATGGTAGATCTGCTTTCTATATTATAGATGATACATTAAGTTATTATAGTTTATCTTATATTTAAAAATTCTTTTAGATTTTAGATGGAAAATGATGAAAAATGATGCCATTCCTTTTTTAAACAAAACTTTCTTTTCAAATAACTATCATCAAAGCCAATCATGATCACCAAGTGTTAACAAAAAAAAAAAAAAAAAAAAAAAAAAAATGCAAAATCAGATGCAAATGATCTGTTATTTATATTTTAATTTGCCTGTTCCATAATACAATCGCTGATCTTAGGTGAGGTTTGACATAAAGCTGGGATGAGTGACTAATGCCTGTGGTATGTGAATGGTGAGGCAACTGTACAAAGGGACACAGAATTATGAAACACATTGACTCCAAGAATACATCATTACCCCAAAAAATTATTATAACAAGGTATACTTTTCAGGGGGCCGTAGCAATTGTCCAAAGGTTCACTATAGAACCTTCAGACCAATGAGACCTAGATTAAAAACTGTTGAAAATGTTACCATTTTTCGGACCAATGAACCTTCGGATTATTGAGACGCCCCCACTTTTCAGTTATCAACTCCTCAAGGTGCAGTGTTCAGGGACCACAGGGATTACCTGGGAGAGATGGTAAAGATGGAAGAGATGGAATATAGGTAAAACTTGCATATGTATACATGCAGTCATTATTCATTTTTAATTCAAAATTATGATTGGTCCATATTAGTTTTTATTGATAATTAGACGATAATTCAATCTGTGAACTATGATGTACACTTCAGTCTTGAAATATCACAAAAACATTTATTTTAATGTTTTCTTCTTGAAATATCATGAAATTGCACATTTAATAAGAAATATTAAATGTTTCTCTAAAATATCTTGACACGTAATTTCAAATACTCAACTCATAGAAAACAAATTTGTAATTTATATTACAGGTTTATACTTCTGTTCATATATATTCCTTTGTGAAATAGCAGTTTCAATATTCTTATTCAAATTTTCTAAGGTACCACCTGGACCTAAAGGGGACCCAGGATCTCTAACATTGGATACCCTCAAACAAATGCTGGGACAAATTGGAACTCAGATAGGAGTACCGCCTACAAGTTTGTCTGGTGTTTTTACTATATATGAATCACTTCTTTTTTTAATTTTGATAATTTTTATTCATTTGGAGAATGCATATGTTCAACACACATCTGCACCCATTCTCCATTTAATTGAAAGGCTTTACTTATTTGTTCAACGATGGCTATGCTGATGATAATTAAAGACCAGGATCATTTTGCAGCAAAGTTTGATTTTGGTTTTGAAAGTGTATAGTACATTTGTATTCAGGTCCAAGAGCAATAACAGTTATCAGGCCTGTAGCCAGCAATTTCAAAAGGGGGTTCTTTTTTCAGAAAAAGTGGACCTTTGCCCATAAAAACTTCATGTACCTAGATCAAATTTTACCCAGAGTGGACCTTTTCCCAGCAAACGGGGCCGTTCTTTCGAAACCCCCTGAACCCCCCTGGCTACGAGCCTGGTTATCTTAGGACAGTGTAAACATGGTTCTCCAGATTTTTTTGTTTTTTAGTCTACAAAGCAATACCAGAGACTGTGAGACAGCTAGTGTAAAAAAATTTGGTTCTCTAGGTTTAATGTGTGTTTTCAGGCCTACAGAGTTTGTCTGCCTTGATGAAGCTCCAGAAGTGGTAGCTGGTGGCCATGAAAACAAAAATGGTGCCTTGTTCCATGTTGCTGAGTTAAAATGTGGTTCCCTCCCCTGTCCACCATATGTGGATGGAAGAGAACTGGCCTGTGTTGTCTGTACTAAATAGTGACCATAACATATAGACCGAGTTGTGTTGGTTCTCCAAAAAATTTTAAGTGACCATACAAACTGCCCATGTTAAATTTAAAGTAGTATTTCCAAGAAATATGTTGATAAGTAATTATTAAAATATACTCTTCCGTTTAATATGTGACTTATGTCCAGTACTTCACAATAATAGATATTTATCGACTTAAATTGATTTTAACAGCAAATGAGTTAATAAGGCAAATTGTTTAAACAAATGACAGTAATTTTATCCTTTACCTCTGACAATGAATGCCTGTATAACAACTAGCATGGTTTATGCTTCAAGTTTTGTTTATTGTTCAATCGACAAAAAAAGGAAAATAAATTTAGTGTAAAAAGAAAAAGGTTACATGTACATCTGATCTTTGCTTTAATATGTCAAATTAACTAACACTTATCACTGATTATTTGTAATTTATGAAGAAAACACCTTTAGGCTGACTTCTCTAAAGTCACTAAATTAATTGTTAGAGATACAAGTAGCATTAACATTCAAATTAAAGAGCACTAAATACATTTACTTCAAAAGGCAAAAGAGAAAACATTCAAATAAGAAAATATGACAAGTTTTTTTACCAACGTCCAATTGAAAAGACTAAATGAATAAAGTAAAATATTAAAAAGCCCATACAGCCTTGTTTTCAATTGATATAATATAAAACTAAGTGAAGCATCTATCAAATGTTTTTATAGGTAACATTCTTTTTAAGAAATACTAACAAAGAAAAAAAAAAAAACAATACTGAGCTGAACAAAACCTTCAGTTCATATTTCTGAAACAAATATTACTTTTTATAAATAAACTGATTTAGCTTGTAAATCTAGACCTAAAATAAGGAAAAAATCTATAGACTATATATTCCTTTCCCACTTGTATTCAAATCTGTATAATATTCACCATTTTTATCATATTCATTGCATAAAATCTAAGCAAAAGAATATAAATAAAATTTTCAGTATTATATCAAATTATTATAATAATACATTATCAGAAGAAATAAGATTGTCAAAAGAATTTTCTAAAGTAGTTGCACTATTTTCCATTCTACCATGATTATATGCACACACACAAATACATATACAGGCATGCAGTCACACACATTCCTTGTGGTATTGTACATGTATTTCCCATTTGAAATAAGTAAGGAAAAGAGCTATTTGTCATTTTTGCCCTTTTTTTTGACTGAACCGTGCTTTTCAAATAGTGTGATATTGGTAGTTCCAGCTTTGTATGTCACAACCTTAGAGGTTAATTCGATTTGTCACTTAAAGTGTTCCCTTCGGTTTCGTACTATAATAATAAATAAATAAATAAATAAATAAATAAATAAGACAAAAGAAACAAAAAGTTCTGTAACTTTTGGCCACTAGTTTTCAGAGAAAACTGCACTTTCATATAGATTAATTTTACTTATCACACCAGACATATCAAATACCAGTAATATGCAGTTTTAAATTATTGATAAGTTTTTAGTTTGACAGTAGATGCCTAGTGGCACAGAGCGCTAGAGTAAAAATAATTTTCCTTACACTGCAGGCATGTCATAAAAATGAAAGAGAAACAATGTTTTCATAGTCACATAGAACTAGATATCCTGTACATTACAGTCACTGCATTAAAATGAAAGTGAAACTGGATATCCAGTGTTCCTCAGCACCAGGAGCCATAGGTAAGGATGTTCTGCATGCTACATAGCATCAAAATGAAATTTGTGAGATTCTTGTCTTTTTTCTTTCTGATCTTCTCTCTGAAAAGAAATGATAATTTTTACAATGGAAATATTGCGGTGAACTAGATCTGTAAAAATGATGTAAAAATATGTCATTTCTAAGGAGACTAAATGTCTCATGCATAAAAATACTTATGGTCTTTAGAAAAAACTACTTTTTAACCAAAGGAAAAAATATGCCTTATCATTACAAAAAAAAAAAAAAAAAATTCAAGACCTGATTTCAAAAATAATCTCTTTGGGTTTGTCATAAATCAAAGCAGCAATAACTTTGCCAAATTGTAATCAACCTGTAAACTGTGATGGCCTTCTTTTGTTGCCTATATGTTATTAGGGAGTGAACTCTTGAAAGCAATTTAGGCAAATGATAATGCTTAATGCATGAAAAAAATAAAAACAGTCATATCGATTATAATAAATTGAAATAAAAGTGAAATATTGATAATGAAAATAAATAAAATAAATAAGAATTCTGACCCATTACCTTTTCTCTCCACTGCAGTAAACCCACTATTCCAGCTATAAAGCCACATGTGCCTGCCAGTGCTGCTCCTGTCAGCATCACCAGGCGACTAGGGGTGACAAATAACTTGTATTTCCATCTGCAAGGACACAGGAGCATCATACAGTCGAGTTCATTGAAGAAAGAATTATTGTTCCTACTGTTAACATTTTAATTGAAATATAATACTGTCCTTTTAATCTAGAAAAATGTTATTAAATGAACTGCTCGTTATGAAAAAATGGTAGTCATACAGAAATTAACGAAGATATAAATATTGCAAAAAGTTTAAGAACTGACGCACATTGAAAAAGATCAACTAGTCAGACAAATAACTAAAAAGCAGCTCATGGAAGACAAGAAAAATTATCATAACATAGTTAACATATGCACATACATTATAAATTTTATAAGACATTAGAGAGATGTAGTGTTAAGTGCTTAAAGACACATTGCACCTTTCCTATGTTCCTGAGAAATTTAAGTTACTTATGAACTTAACGTATAAATGAATAGGGAAATGCTAAATGTCAAGAAAAGAGTCCCTGGTGGTGACCACTGAAGCTTAAAGAGTATACAGTTTTAGTTAAGGAAAACTGAGGAGTGAGAGGTTGGTGATTGAATTTGTGACTGGTTGTCAAACGTAACACATAATTTATAGAAGAAATATTAGTTGCTTCCCTTATACTATCGCTAGTCAAATATTTGTAGAAACCCAACTTTCTAAGATCCACATTGTAATTATCTGACATGTCCACTTGATAAATCATGGCTTCAGCAATTTAAGAGTTTTCGTTGCCTCACCCAGGTTAGCATCTTGGCTGCTACAGACTGGTGTACATCATGTATTTTCATGTATTCACTGCCATTTTTGTTACTACTGTCTCTGCATCAACTTTAAGACATCATCATGACAGTGCCAGTAATGCCGTGTTGATAAAAATGGTTGAAAGACTGGACAAGCAGGAACAAGAGATGAAAAAACTGAAAGCTGAGGTTGCTGCAGTGAGGCAGGAAAACAAACAACTGAAGGTATTTTGTATTTGAAATTCTGCCCAACCCCAACATTGTCAATTTCCCACGTGGTATATCTTAACTATTTCTAAAATTAACATCTTACCAACCTATGTTGAACAATTTCCATATGCTGAAAATGACAGATCTATAGTATAAAGACTAATGTAATCTTTTAAATAGTCAGATATTCAGAAAATCCAGTTGAAGCTTGATGCACAAACTATCACTGTTCCTGAGCAAAATGCAACAAACCTTCACCATGGAAACCATTTTATTACCAAGCGACAAGTGCAGCAAGGAAACTGTAAGCTATCATTTGTTAGAAGTCTTGAACTGACATTTTATACAATTCCTGATAAGATATATCAAGAGGATATATTGATTTTAGATAATATTATATGTGACAATAGGCATTTTATGGTTGAGTATCAACGTGCAGCATCTGTATCCTGTTTAAAAAACCAGCAATTCAAACCACTGTGTCCTGTATTTTAGTGGTAAGTTCAGGCTGTCTACAAGGACCCCAGGGACCCCCAGGAAGAGATGGCAGGGATGGCAGAGATGGTATTCAGGTAACTTTACTGATCTTCTCTTATGACAAATTCCATGACTTTTAGAATAAATTTTCTTTCTTGAATAAAATTGTATGCCATCATATATAATTATAATAATTATACAATATTTAAAAATTGCTTCTAGAGTATGAAGGCTTGGGATGTGACATACATAAGTTGGAATCGATAGTAAAAAAATACCAAATAAATATATATTGATGTAGATATAATTTAATTACAACATTATAATTTTTGTTCTTGTTTTTGTAAAAACATATAAATAATTGGTAATTAATTCATAAAAATAATTCATAATTGATATTTTTTTATTTTCTAAGGGGCCCCCTGGACCTAAAGGGGTCCCAGGATCTCTAACATTGGATACCCTCAAACAAATGCTGGGACAAATTGGAATTCAGATAGGAGTGCCACCTACAGGTTTGTCTGGTGCTTTACCTATGTGAACCTCTTCCTTTTAGTTTTGTTAATTGTTCTGTATGTTACTGTCCACTGACTTCATTAACAAATTCATTTTTTCCATTTTATCGAAGGTTTTACTTTTTAGCAAACAGACAGTTGTTCTGATAAATGTTACAAAGGTTTACCCTCTACCAGGGTGGCAGATTATATAGGGAAAAATTGGAAAAACCACTGTGTGATTTTTGGCCAGATGGAAGCAGTTAAATCTGCCCGCACACAGATGGAATTATAATAATAATTTATTCGAGCATTAAATGTGACAGTTACATTTGTTAGCCCTCTATACTACAAATATATAAATAAATAAATAGTTATACATCACTATGGATTACTACTAATACAGTGTTTAAGATTATTAAATACAGTGTATACGTTGTTTAACATACTTATTACAATTGTAAATAGTTCAATACACTGAGGGAACACACATTTTCTTTGATAGGCTTATAGCTATATGTATCTAATGTGCCATACTTATGGTTCATATAATATATAGCAGGATGAGGCTACTTCAGTGTGGCAGATGCTAATTTCTTTTGGAAGTTGCCCTCTGAATGTATTTACCAACAGCGTACAATTCTTTCTCATTTTCTGGGCTTAGTATGATTTTAACCTTCTCGTCACTGCGGAATTGTACCAGCTCTGTAGGGAGCTACTAAGGAGATTTCTCAATTATTTTCAATATGTTGTAACAAGCTACAGTATTCAGAAGGGGCTACTTTTATTTGTCACAAAAGAACAAGTGATTTAAATCAGAGCAATTAATATAACCGTCTTCATTGCTGTCAAAGTGACTTAGCCTGGACAGTTATGCAAACAATTACCAGACATATGTAATCAGCCTAGAGATTTCATTACAGGATCAGATAAGTAAATGACCATCTATTTATCTAAAGGCATACATGTACCTGTGAATATTCTGTGAAAAATCAATCTGTGGCCCTGATAGAAAGTAACAAAGGTTGTTGTGCAAAAATGAGTGTGACGTCAGTTTTTAAATGTACATTTTTATGTTATCTGGTCTTAAAGCACTACCAGACATACGTGTAGCAGTGTAGTGTTCACAATATAGTTTTCTGTATGTTTTCAGCTCTACCAGCCAATAACAACAATGGTGGAGCAGTGTATATACATTGGGGAAGGACAACTTGTTCAACACATTCAAAACTTTTGTACAAAGGTAAAATGCATGTTGTAACAAATAGGTTTTCTAGGGATAACTCGGTATACCGTACATGAACCACATTTTAAAAGATTTTATACTTGATCTTCCTCTGCATAAAAATATAGGCAACTAAGCTTACAATTAAAAATGTCTGAATTGTATAACTTTATCTTTAGGGATAGCTTCTGGAACTGACGAACGCAAAACTGGAGGAGGCAGTAATTACCTGTGTTTGCCACAGACACCAGAGTGGGGGAAATACCAAGATGGAGGGCAAGATTTAGGTTCTTACATACATGGTGTGCAATATGAATATGTTAAAAGTAACATATTTTCAAAGTCCAATACAGGAGGTCATAATCTTCCTGACCAAGATGCCCCCTGTGCTGTATGCTACACCCAAACACGCCCCAGTCATGTGATGATACCAGCCAAGAAGACATGTCCAGCTGGGTGGACAACAGAGTACAATGGATACCTGGTATCAAATCGTGATGACTATGCGAGAACTGAATTTGTCTGTCTTGATGAAGCTCCAGAAGTGGTAGCTGGAGGCCATGAGGACAAAATTGCTGCCTCGTTTTACACTGCTGAGGCTAAATGTGGCACCCTCCCCTGTCCACCATATGTGGATGGAAGAGAACTAGCATGTGTTGTCTGTACTAAATAGTGAAGAACATAAAATATGGGTCATACATGTAATATTGGCACTAAATACAATGACCATAAGGAGACATACCTGCGTTGTCTGTACTGAACAGTGTCAAATGTGTTGAAAAAATTACCTGTGACTAGGAGAAGAATGACCTTAGGAATAGTCTTTGTTGAATTTAAATATGTTATTTCCTAGAATATAGCTACCAGTACAGCTATTCATCAAAAGATATACATACATTCAATTTATATTTGGTCACAGGCAATTTCCAGTCGATTTCCATCAGCAAATTAGTAAATTAAGAAAAAATGTTTAAATGGCCTACATGTAGTCTAGGTTTTTGATTTATTCATGAAAATTGAATTGAAGATTTCAAATATAATTATATGCTTTTGATCTATTGTTTTGTGTCTGTGGAGTAAATAAATAACTATGAAGAGCAGAAATTCAGTTTTTTCCCTTTTTTCCTGTAATCAAATTAGTGGCAAACATGCCTTGTGTTGTAAAATTATATGAAAGAATGCTAAGTAATTTCTGCCTCCTTTAAAAATGGAAAACTAATTTTAAAATTAGTTTTCCATTTTTAAAGGAGGAAAACTAATTTTAAAATTCACATTCTAGGTTTACATATCTAACTTTACATTCAGTACTTACTAATTTTTTTTATCTCAAAAATATTCTCCTTCCAATTTTTAAATGCAAACAAGATAATTTAAGTAAGTCATTAAAAATGGTTTTCCAGACAACAGCATGACAGACACCTAAATTGGTACATGATCAGAAATATCAATTAGTATGCCTTTTTTTGTAATGTCCTTTAAAGAAAAAATGGAATTGTTTTCTGAAAAAGAGGCATTAAAATTTTTTAAATTTTTAAAGTACATGTAATTTGAGAAAAGGTTTAAGTACATGTATTTTGAGAATTAACAAATTAACATGAATGGTAAGCACAATGTCTCAGATATCTGGTCACAATGGTTGAGGCACAGTACAACTAACACATTTCAGGAGGTAAAGCTAGCAAAACAGGTGCTGGAAGTACAAATGTTTAGAAATTTGATATTTGTGTACTTCAAGATTCCAAGGGACAAAGCCAGCAAAGTAGGTGCTAGAAATATCTTTGAAAATGCATTTCATTAATGTTTAAACCCATGTGTAATTTACCAATTAAGACCCATTCAGAACACAGCTTTCTAACCACCTGTGATTTTTGACTGACATCTATATGTGGCTTGTTATAATTTTAATATTTTTTAGAATAATTTTTGAATATTTGAAATATAAAATTCTCTGAGTTTCTAAATGCTAATGCTAAATTACAAAGCTTACTGAAACAACATTATCTTTTGCATCTAGAAGAACATACCGGTAATTGGTATGAAAAATTTATAAGAAAACAGTATGTTAATTAATACAGAAATAAACTAAGAAATAAATAGTGCAAAAAGTGTAGGAACTGAAAAAAAAACTGTCACTGACAGTTCAACTGCATGGCATATAGACCTTTTTCATCTTTTGCGGAAATACGAAGTGCGCATGACAGGAACCGCGCGCCACAGGGGTCATGGTGGTACACTGCTGTTTCCAGCATGGCAATGCTAGGTGTAAATGATGTACAAGGTGCGCATATAAAAAGGCCGTATGAAGCGTGCATTGCTTTCTGTCAAACTAAAAAGGTGGCTGAAGCACAGAAATGCGTAAACTGTAGGCAAGAAACAGCTATTTGGACGGAGAATCTAGCAATTAAATGTTTTCTTTCTCAGTATAAATACGATGCGCTGTACAACTAGACTTCACTTAAGCGTCCGAGCCTTGGCTGCACTTTCAATAGTGATGACGAACTAACGCTTCAGAGTTGACGAACTAACGCTTCAGAGTTCTTTTAAATGCTTCCGATAATAAAGATATGCGAAAGAGACTCGTTATTTTTTTATATATAAAATCAAAATGGCCAGTAGACTCGTACACAGCTTTCAAGAGTGTGGACAGGTGCGTAGGCCTACGTCTTCACAATATTACATGTATATATGCAAGCAGTGGCGATATCAACTCATTTACCGGCAGTGTCAATTCTTTACGATTTTTATGTCTTGTTTGAAGGATGTCTTAAGAGATTTTTGAAGTGATAAAATGAAAAGATTCCCTGCATTGTTTGACTCGTACCTGTATACTGTGTATACAGGTAAAACTGACACGCAGATCGTCCGTCGGTGAACTGATTAAATCGTTTGGTACCTGATAAGGCATCAGGTGTTACTTGTTCAATTGTTCGGTAAGGGGGCGGCCACAACTACGACCTTTCCTCTGTAATTAAAACCTTCTAATTTTAAGTGTTAAATAGGTGAGACAGGAGTACTCGAGTCTTTCCCAGAAGATAATTAAAGTTTACCGTGTCTTACTCTAGTATATGTACAAAATTTACGACAGGTAAAAATGTCAGACTTTCGGTCTGACAAGTATGAAAATTTTGTCAAACTGAAACAAAACCGTCAGGTAAAAACAAAATTATAGCAAGAGGCCACATTATTTGATTTTTAAATGTTTACGTGCGTATTTTCATCGTTTTCAATCAAAGACAATAAAATCATTCAAATAAAGTGTTTTCCACACATTTCATACTTTTCAACTATCTAAGACAGTTAAATATACGTAGGCCTTCTTTAATACTAAGCATATTTATATAACTTTAATTTACAAATACGATTATTTTTATTATCCATTTTGTCTTTACCATACATGTATTATGTACATGTAGCTTACAGAAAGGCTTTTCTGCATTTTTTTGGAAATATATGCCCATTGAATTTTCCAATTCTCTTATCATTGAGTTCAGAAATAAATAACTTTTTATTTTGCCGATAACGCGTTCAACAAGAGCCGATGTAATTTCTTCTTCGTATGTCTCTGTTGATCTTGATAATATGAGCCCAGTTTGTACAAATCAGTAATACGTATACGGGACTGGATACATAATAATAAAAATTTTATTAACGTCTCACGTTAAAAAAATAGAACCCACCCTACAAAGGGTTATGAGAGACTAAAACCTGTGATAGGCTTACTACATCAAAAATGATCACTTATCAATAAAACACACACAAAAAGGATATTACATACAAAACTTTTCAAACCTCTTTGTTGTTACACAAAAAGTCGTGAAAATTCTTGAATATTTTGTAAGTAGAATCCCCGTGTAAAACTTCACAGCTTTTACTTTCTTTTTCCATAATCTCATGCTTGAAGTATTTTCTTTATTTTTAGGCCCCGGCCTATTCTTCAATTTTTTCTTCAGATCTTTATAATGTTTTTTTTTCTCACATTGTTTACCCCCGAGGTCTATTTGCCGATAGTTCGTTATATCCGTTGATTAACTAAGCATTTCTGTTTTTTATTAAAGCACCGTTGATCTCCTAATTTTATAGTTTTTCTTCCCGCCTTCGAAGTGTTCAGCGCAAACGTGGTCCCCTGCTTTTGATCCAAACCTGCTATATTTTCCTTTCTTTCTACCATATTTTTCATTCTAACGGGTTTGTTGGGAACTTATTAAACCTCATGTGTCGATCTCGCTTACTGTTATTGTAGCAGCGGGACAAAAAGCACGTAAACCCAGCCATGGTTTTTAGCACCGCTCTAAGTGTTTCGACGTAGCTGGGCTCCCCTACCCACAATGCAATTTCCATTTCCGGAAAAGATGAAAAAGGTCTATAGCATGGGTTTAAATGTAAAGTAGGCACCACCGCAATGTGCATCTGCTATGACCATAATTAATATTACTTTAAATATCTGAAAAATATTTGACATTTTATCTTTCTTAATCTTAAGATATAAGAATAGAAATAAAATATACTAAATGCATTTAGACTCCATTTTTCATTCATATTTTCCTTTTTTGATAACATGCACTACATGAAAATGAATTTTATTCTTCTGTTTGCAACTGAAAATATTTTACTAATTCTAACCCATGCTTCCTTTTTAAAGACCTACGTTTTCTTGTCTCAGGCAGGGGCTCATATAGAAAAATGAACATCTTATATCTTCAAGTCATTGTGAGATTCTTCTTTTAATCAACACTATATGTAAGAATAAAGTAATCAAAATATTGATAATGAGCAATGATTGGCCACTTATTGTCTTTCTTTTTTAAACTGGCACCTTCTCTATAGCTACTCATTACAAAATGTCACAGTTGTCACCTACTACAACTATAGAAATGTAGTTATGTATTTCAGAACTCCCCTAAAACACTCATTTTCATAAATATTTGACAAGGTTATTTTGACATTATTTTTTTATATTTTTTACAGTGGATCATAAAATTGTAAGAACTTAATCTTAATTTAGCCTCACTTTTTTCTTTCATTCACAATTTATTTTTCATGTACAAAGGTGGGCACTTTTACCGTCTTATCAGCACTCATACTTTGAGAAACCGATTTTCAGTTTTTCATTTAATAGAATTAGTTTGTCTTTCGGGAATTTATTTTTTTGTGTCCTGTATAATAGGTCTGTATTACTCTGTAGGATCTGACACAAAACAAAAATTAATCATTCAACATGTAACGCTGTAACACTATTGATTTTCTTAGAGTTTATTAAAATTAGTTATAACATTGTCTTTACCTACTAATGTTCTTTTTATATCACTTTCCCCTGTTTGTCTTTTTTCCTGTATAGTGGTATCTGAATCACCAGTACATACATATCATATTATCCTCACTCGAGGATTCGCCCTAGCTGTCCTTAACTGCTCTGTCTAACCTTGCAAGTATATGTGCTGTTTTATACATTTATTTGACGTGTGCTATTGATATTGAAGACTTTGTTGGACAAACACCAAGTTTTGTTACAGCTGGAAGCTATGTTCCACATTATATCTGGCAAAGACCTATCCTATTGCGAGACCAAGAGGCTTTGCTACTGACATCCCTGCTGGATCTTGGTCGTGGCTTTAATGAGGCTTTTCCTCATCGCAATAGAATGTTAAATATAATGAAAACTAGGCATTCATTAAGTCAAAGGGTTTTATAAACATTATGCTCCCATGACATAGTGAAATGCAGACTAGAGTTGACTAGAGTTAAGGTGTGAAAAAATATAAGTTCGATGCAATATGAAAACGTCATGAGGGCAAATGATTTGGACAAATACACATATTTGCAAAAGAAAATCCAGGTAAGATATTTTCAAAGTTGTATGGTGTCCGTGGGTCTTTATTGTGCAAGGTAAAGTTAAACAGCAGATAACTAGGAACTAGAAAGGATTTCTAAAAGTGTTTTACTAAATGGTAGACCGAACAAGTGGCTCAGAAAGTTTACGCACATACAGTACAAACTAACTAAAATTTGAAATGGTCAGGCTTATAAACAGCATATCTTGCGATCATTCATTGAATACTGAAAGTATGCGACACGCGTTGTGAATCCGAAAATTAATACAAGACATTTACAACACAATAAGAGACAGAAACACCTTCCACACACCATTCACACACTGCAAACAGAATTCTTACAAATGTTCATTAAAAATA